ATCTATTCATTTGACTTGGCCAAGAAGGTCTCTCTCAAATTGTCTCCTTTAGGCTAATCTTATTAGGCCACTTGAACCTTTTAAATTGAAACACGCATATCTTTCTTCATGCCCAAGGCGTTTGACTCAAGATCATCAATTACTTTAACTTTAGTTATTTGTTCAAGCAAATCAAATATGGCCATGTGTGATATTTTTTATCATATCCATCCAAAATCTTGCCATTTGTCAGTCAAATAATAACTCGCATGCTCTTAAATGACGACATTGAAATTTGCCTATCAAATTAGATCATATATGACATCATGAATAACATATTGTTCTAACTCTAGTTTCATAATTATAACCTTAGTTAACTAATGTGAGTTGAAGTTATTCTTTAAATTAAGTGAAGGAGGAAGAAAGATTCATTTTTACTTTCTCCTTCTTGGAAGAGCAATTTCACCATCTTATCTTTAAGTGCAATATCTATTTTCCCTTCTAAAACAACAAGCAAAGCTTCCTCTTAAATTTCAATTAAGCTCTAAAGTTTATTCACCTTCATTTGTTTGGGCTTTTAATCTCATCTTTCAAGTATTTACAACGTGATTAAGGCTTTGAGTTGTTCGAGTCTTTATTCAAGGTCAGTGAAAACTCTAGAAGCTAAGTTAGATTGATTCACTGAGTACTCTTGACTTGGTTGTTTGATGGTTGTGGATTTCAATTTGATCTTTGATGTTAAGTGTGAAAAAGTTTTCAATGATTTCATGTTGATTTGTCAATGTTCATTTGGCTTGAATCAACCTTCCAGAAGACATGGTCATATAATGGATGAGAAAAAGGGTAAAGACGTGGAGTTTGGACTTGAAGATGATATTCATGCAATCCTTGCTAAGTGACCGGCTAAATTGTCTTTTTCTAATGATAATACTACATTATGTTTGTTGACTTGAATAGATGAGTCTCTATATGCCAAGTTTGTGATTAATTAATGTTATAAGATTCGATAGTATAGAAAATGGAAATGGTGAAATTAAATTAGAAAGTGATAATTTTGTAATTCGACTAATCTACCGATTTGCTAGCTAAGTGTTGCCGATTACTCATGTTATTAATTATTTGGGTGTCGATGTTTATGTGGTCGATTCTTTGAGTTGTCAAAGTCCACGTTGTTGATTTTCGAGTTGATTTGTCAATTGAGACCAAGTTGTCGATATACAAGAAGTTGATTGATAAGTTGTATATTTTTGTGTTATCGATTTATAATTTGTCGACTGTTGACGAATCTACCAATATATGACTATGTCAATATGATTCACTTGGGAAATGAAAAGAGTTAAATGCGTTATTATTATTTATGTAAGTGATGCATGGAAAAAAAAACATGATGATTGTGTTTCGGTAATGTTTTTGCATAAGATGATGTCGTGTACCAAATGCGGATTTTGAAATTGGCCATACAAGAGATGATAAACGAGTGTTAATTTCGTTGTTGATGCAAGGTGATGTTATCATGTGCACTATTGCTATGTGATTAATTGTGGAATAAGTATTATGAAAAGAAAATTCCGTCATCCACATATTTATGGCGACGATGCCCCGGAGTTAGGATGCCCCATGTGTCGGGATTCCCCGAGGAGCGTTTCGGGATGCCTCGAAGTGGAGATGCCCCATGTGTCGAGATGTCTCGGAGTTGAAATGCCTCATGTGTCGGGATGCCCCGAGGAGTGTTTCGAGATGTCTCGGAGTGGAGATGTCCCGTGTGTCGGGATGCCTCGGAGTAGAGATGCCCCATGTGTCGGGATGCCTCGGACTTGAGATACCCCATGTGTCAGGATGCCCCGAGGAGTGTTTCGGGATGCCTCGGAATGGAGATGCCCCGTGTGTCGGGATGTCTCGGAGTTGGGATGACTCGGGAGTTGGGATGAGATTTAAATAATAATAACGAATATAATGCATATCTATGTATATGTATAAATGCTTACATTCATACCTACCTATTAATGAATTAATTAGTGATAATTATGCAACACAATATGTTATGTCATCCGGTGGCATTTGAGTGAATGATCTAATGTTGTTAATGGTTTCTATTGGCATAGCATGAAAATATATTCCATGTGTATAGCCATTAGGTGATACTGGTGCATCCTGAAATAATATGTCATCTACTTGCTTTGAATGAATAAACTTTTGTTATGTTATTAATGGTTTTCATCGTATCATGATAGAAAGAAGACCACTTGCTTATGCATTTGTCGTACATGGTTATAGCCTTGAACTTATGTTGTTTGTATGTACTAGGTTGAATGATAAGATCATTTCCTACCTTAGATTTAGAGATTTTATTTACTGGGTTTCGGCTCACCCCTTGTTTTTCAGATCTGTAGGATGGTCCCCTGGACATGTCAGTGGAAGGGACAAGATGATGCTGGAGGCCATCAATTCTAGAGTTTGATGGTGGCTTGGTTAATGTTTTGGTTTAGTATGGGAGTATCGGTATTAGTGAACCCGACCTTCTTCCCAGGGCTTTTGAATGAATTGTATGTGTTGGTAACTAGTGTTGTTAATGTAAAGAAGCATATATGTATTTATTAAACTCATGCGAATTTCTTATAAGGGATACTGTGAAAATTTTATTATACTTCCGCATGCGTAAATATAGTTCTAAGTAAAAACGGAAAGGACACGTGTTGTGCATGACGTTATAGGGCGTCATACTAAATTTGGTTTGTGGAATCTTAAGAACTCAGATTTGATGTTATTGGGATATTGAGAAGCTGACTTCCCAATTTACAAAATTGACAAAAAGAGCACCTCTAGTATTTGTCAAATAATCGGTTGTATGCTTCTTTCATGGTTTTCAAAGAAGTAAAATTCAGTTGTCCTTTCAACTGCTCAAGCTGAGTATATGGCTCTAGATATCTGCCGTAACTTTTGTGAATGAAGCAGCAATTAAGTAATTTTCGTAAGGAAAAATCGAACATACCCATTATGTGTGATAGTACCACGATTAATTTGACTAAGAATCCAATCATGCATTTTAGGGGTAAGCATATTTCAATCCCTTATATATTGTTGTGGAAGCAAACGATCGAATAGTAAAATAAATAGAATAAGAAATATGTCGGACAATAAATTTACGTGGTTCGATCGTAGTGACTTACGTGCACGAAGAGAGTAGCACGAAATTCCACTATAGATAAAGCGATATAACGGAGATTACAATCACACTCAAGTCACTCAAACACTCTAAGTGTTTTTCAATCCTCAATTGCACCTAATAACTCACGCGGTGTTTAGCCTCATAATTCCTCACGAAATAATCTCTCAATTTCACGAAGGAATTATACATAAATTCTTACCACAAGATTTAATCGCTATAAACACTTAAACTTTTGATATAATTCCACGAACAAAATCACGAACCCAATGCCTAGCACTCAACGGCGCTTGAAGACTTCGCTGAAAGAAACGTTCCTTGACCCATGGGTATTTATATATACCCTCACACACGTGGACTGAAGTTCTTGGCCAATTAAGCAATTTACTTTTTCAACTTAGACTAAAACAGGAAATATCACACTAATTTCACCAGGATAGATATCTGTGCGATTCAAATCTCATCTAATGCAGAGTTCAAGTTCAGTCAACCAATTGGACTTTCCTTTCTTTTTTTTCTTTTCCCACACGGCGACAAAGGGGACAAAATAACCTTTCCTTTTCTATGTCCTCTTTCCACGGTCAAAGATCCAACAACACTTCAGCGTGAAAATATCAAATTACGTACCAGCTTATATGTACTTTAATTCGTGTCAGGTTTTAACGAGTTCAAATTCGAGATATATTTTAATATATATATAGCTTTTATTTTTATTTACACTACTGACATCTACATATTATATATGGTGTAGCTCCTCAACCCACTTGAATTACTCGAGGACGTTACAGTCGATCCGGAACACTTCTAATGCCATCAGCCATCAGAGCTTTAAGTCTGTTCAAGAATTTGTACAAAGGGCATCGGACAGAAGAGATTCAAGATCGCATATCCAATGTCGTCCAATACCTCGAAACTGTTCAAATGACAGACAAATCGGGGTATATTTGTTCATCTTCCCTTATGGGTTTAATTAGTATGGATAAAATTCAAGACAAGCAGACAAGATGACTTGAGAATGTGGATGGGGGGAGAGATACCTTTCTTACCCAAGAAAGGCGATTATTTTGGGTGCACTTGGAAATCGTTTGAATGGCTTTGATATCTCCATCCGGGAAAAAAAAACACACGGAAGATGTTTGATAGATCCAAAAGCTCGAAAAATACTAAGAAAGCCTTCTTTATATAGTTATATTCCTTTAAAGAAAGAAGAATACGTAAAATTAGTAAAATTTACGAGTATTACATCTTGAGGATTGCTTTGAAATTTGACCAAAAAAAAAAGGGGGGGTTAGGAAACCAATTATCCGGGAGTCCCCAAATATCTTGTTACGTCGAGCAGTGGCCTGAAACTCGACTTAAGGAATAAAAAACGAAACAATATTCCTATGATTGAGCCAACAAGGCAATGGTTAAGGACGATGACCAATCTAAATCAAAGTGGATTCTAGACCATTTCGAAGTTTTATAGGTCTTGAATCTTGATCGATCATTTCAAGTTATGTTTTTTTTTTTTGGGGTCAAAATTTCCAAGTTATGTTACTTACAAGAACTGAGATATCCTTTTTAGCAAAATGGCTCCCCAGACTCCTAGCAAAGTCTCCATAGACAATGCCCCTTATCTGCGTGCTCAACCAAAAGGATAATCTAATGCGTGATGCACCGTCAGCTCCGGCGTTGACCATAATAGCTTAGACACAAAAGGATAATCTAATGCGTGGTGCTGTGAAAATCCTACCCCCACTCCATTCCTATTACTTCCAAGTCCTAACTATAGTAAAATTTGGCGATTCTCACTCAATATTCCTTGCTTTTTGACAATGCTTTGATAAGTTTATGAATAATACATGATACATAGACGTAAAGAAAAGTTCTTCAATATCGTTACTTTTGAGAGGTCCAAGCATCACACAAGAGCTATGCACAGCATTGTTTCCTCAGGTCAAAACCGAAATCGACAAGCAAAGAATTACATTTTAGCTTATAAACCTTATTCCCTTGCTTCCTATTTTAATACATCAGCAAACAACACATTCACCCCAGGCCAACCATAAAGATTGTAGGGCCGGATTCGCGGTCACGTAAGCTCCAGATCACCCGCCATTCTGCACCTACTCATAAATTATCGTCAATGATGGTGGACCATAATAGCTCAGACACAAATTCACATCTTTTTGCCCTCTCTTCATGATCCTTGTCCAACAAAGGCAATGCTTGACTGTGGCTGGCACCAACAAAAGGCGCATATTAGAAACAAGAACACCACTCTCACAAGACAAGTGATGAAACGTTCAACCAAAATGTTGAGATTGTTACGCTAAGGCCTTTAACAGCAAAACAAATTCACCGCAGAATTCAGCCTATCTCTAACGGTAGTAAGAAATTGAAACATTCATGCTTTGCTTGTCATTAACACAAAAGATGCAGCCGGAAAAAAAAAAATCTCGCAGCAATACTCACCCCGTCCAACATGGCCATCAAAATGCTCGCTCCAACCAGGCAAATGCTTTCTAGCATTTTTCTTCCAGGCTTGTTCAAATTGAGGCAGCTCATCTAGATAGTCATGAGCTATATGAATGAACCATTTTTGGGAATCCGGCATTTAACAAACAAGAAAATTCAATACCTTCATTTAGGTTGTGCAGTGTCTGCATGGTATCCACCTTACCATCAGAATTAAGCTTCCTAGTAATAGCATGCCCTTGCAGTAAGTATTGCTTCGAGTGTTGGATGACCAACACTCCATCAGAAGTGCTGGGGCGTTGATCATCTCTTGAATATGCCTTTTACATAAACCATTCCCTTCTCACTGAGCTAAAGCTCCTTCCTCATCTGCTCAACGATCTCCGATAGCGTCCGTCTTCCGCCACTATCATCTTTACCTTAATTTGCTCCTTCCACGATGCCTGCATCCAATAGTGTGCTCCACTGCAAAATATCATATCAAGGGTTCAGCATATTCACAGATGATTTTTGTTCTTCAGAAATGAGGAACACTACAAATCGGACACTTCAAGGAAAAACAATCTTCACTTACGCTAAGGGGCTCAATGCAATGATCCAAAACCAGTTGTTACCAATGTCCGGAACAGTCTGTAAGAACAAGGTCAACGGTAGTGAGGCTAATACAGGAGCAGAATGTCAGCAATGCCGCTTGCCCTTGGCTCGGAGTCATCATCCCTTCAAACCATCAAACGAGAGCACGAAGCAAATTAACTAGCAGCCCTTTTAGAACAGAGAGCACCATGCTTGGGTTTTGTTTTCATTTGCAGTAACAATGGTGGCAAAAAACCATAAGGGGACTCCCTCTCTCCCCCCCCCCCCCCCCCCATTTTGTACCGAACCCACCACCACCGAAGAGAAAAGTAAAAGAAAAAGACCAATCAAAACCGCTCAACGCGGGCACACAAAAAAATGGATCGACGGAGATTCCAGGCGCGGGGGAAGAGGAGAAGAGGGGAACCTTGCTTGTGGCTGGCGCATTTCTCGACGGTATGGCACTGAGCAGAGAGCGAAAGATCGCCGGAGCAGCAACAACGCCACGGAGGGAGCGCCGGAGCAACCAAGAAGCCTAGCGAAATTTGAGAGCGAAATCGCAGAAATTCAAAATAAATTTGAAAGCGAGATAGGAAAGTGCGGTGGGTTTTCTTCTTCACTGCGAAAACGAAGGAGAAGAAGAGAGAGAAGAAATAAATGCGTGCGGAGGGAGAGAGAGAGAGAGAGAGAGGCTTGCGGGGCTAACAAGAGAGAATGAATATTATTTTTTTTTTTTGTGCAAAATTTCCATATGGGCGAGCCGGGACCACGCTGACTTGGCGGTCCCGACCACCTAATATTTTCTCATTGATTGCTACATCAAAGCGTGAAGGAAGGTTCGATTGATGAGGAATTGACCAATCAATCCAACTCGTTCCACACGCATCATAATTGACAGATTTGACTGCCATTTTTCGGACGACTCACGTCCCGCTCGCTTAATTATGTGAATCTCACGTAAAATTTACGTGATCTACGATAGTGACGGAATGAGTTCACATAAATCGGGTGCATGCAATGCTCTCTTCTTTAAAAAAAAGAGTATTGGAAAGATAAAAATCAACATACAAGTCCGCCCCCGTTATGAAATATTAGATAACGGATCGGACACTATGAGCCGTCGGATCTAGAAAATACCGCATGTAACCCAAGCAAGTATTTTACATGACTAGCACAGATACTACTTAAATTGAATCGGGATCGTGGGATTTGGATAACCCATATGGGACCTACCATTTTCAATGGTCCAAACTGAATTTATATACCTAGATCTATCGTCAAAGGGAGATAAAAAAGAATTTCCCCTTCTTGATTTTTTTTTGGTCGATTCCCCTTCTGGATTGACGGGGTCATTCGAGCACAAGAAAAGGCTTTATTCGCACGAAATTTCCTAGTCACGATGGTTGTCCACATTTCACCGAACCTAATGTTTCTAGACTAGAGTGAGGTAAAGTCAGAACTCTAGAATTAATACGAAACAAGCCACAACATGCGCATGTGGTCCGACAAATCCTGTATAAAACCAGCTCAAAGATGTGCAACCTCTTCCATGTTGTAACTCATCGAAAATGGCTTCCAACGATAATCACATCCTTCTCTTTCTCTTCTTCTCATTTCTCTCTCTCCTCCAAATCAAGTCATGCATGGCCCAAAACGTCAAAGGAGGCTATTGGTTCCCAGACAGCGGGGTCACCGCCTCGGACATCGACTCGACCCTCTTCACTCATCTCTTTTGTGCGTTTGCGGACCTCGATGCGTCGACAAACGAGGTGGTCATATCGTCGCCGAACGCTCAGTCTTTCGCAACCTTCACTAGTGACGTCCAACAGAAGAACCCATCAGTCGTAACCCTCCTGTCCATCGGAGGTGGCAACTCAAGCGCGAATGACTTTGCATCCATGGCGAGCCAGTCTAGCTCCCGAAAGGCTTTCATCAATTCCTCGATAGCCCTAGCTCGGTCCAATGGCTTTCATGGCCTTGATCTTGATTGGCAATACCCAAACACTACCGAGAAGATGGCCATCTTGGGGTTGCTGCTCCAGGAGTGGCGGACTGCAGTGGCTGCTGAGACGGCCAGCTCGGGCAAGGACGCTTTGCTTTTGTCGGCGGCGGTCTATTACTCGCCGCACTACACTTCTTCCACGGATTATCCTGTGGCCGCCGTGGCGGCGAGCTTGGATTGGATCAACGTGATGGCCTATGATTTCTTTGGCAGTTGGTCCACCACCACAGGACCACTTGCTGCGCTCTATAATCCAGGTAGGGGAGGCAACTTTGACTTTTTTCTGGGTTATAAACTTCGACTATCCTGAGGTACAATGAAGTTTTGTTAATCTTCTGTCGCATGACTTTGAAATTTGTTGCCTCAACGTCAAGAGAACCTCGAACGTTGTCCCCCAATTCAAAGCAGCGCTCTATAATCCAGGTAGGGGAGGCAACTTTGGCTTTTTTCTGGGTTATAAACTTCGACTATCCTGGGGTACAATGAAGTTTTGTTAATCTTCTGTTGCATGACTTTGAAATTTGTTGCCTCAACGTCAAGAGAAACACAAACGTTGTCCCCCATTCAAAGCATACACCGTCATTCCACGAGTAATTAACATGAATTTTGTTGTTCATTTAAAATCATTTGTTTGTGCTCATCAAACCCGTAATTTTCTCGACATATGCTGCATCTGAAATCGGTCCTTTCGATTTTCAGGGAAAGGCTTAAGCGGAGACAACGGGGTGATTGCTTGGATTCAGGCCGGCATGCCGGCGGGGCAGATCGTGCTCGGCTTCCCATTCTATGGCCGCGCATTCGTCCTCGCGGATGCCAACAACCACGGCTACTTCGCGCCCTTCACCGGGGCGGCGATATCCTGACTGGTTGATATCCTCTGACGGGTCGATTAAGTACAATCACATCACGACGTACATATCCGAAAACAGCGCGACCACGGTGTACAACTCCACGGTCGTGTCCGTCTACTGCTATTCCGGGACGACATGGATCAGCTACGACGATAAACAGACCATCTCTACCAAGGTTGCGTACACCAAGCGAAGAGGACTCAAAGGTTACTATGCATGGCACGTTGGTGGTGATGACAACTGGGTTCTCTCTCAAACAGGTGAGTTTTTAAGAGATTCGTGTTAGGGGTGAGCAAGATGGACCGTCTGAAGCGGGATCGGACAGGACCGACCGGTTTGGTCCGGTTCTCGAGAATATCGGTCCGGTTCCCGGTTCCTAAAAGTGGAACCGGTTTCCGGGCGATCCGGTTTCCGGTTCTAGGACCGCACCGATGAATATATATTTTTCTAATTTTTTCATATATATATTTATTTACTTTTTAAAATTTTCAAAAAAAATAAAAAGCCTAATCTAACTTTTCAATTCCCTCTCGCCTTTACCAATAAGTGATTGGTCTGATCCGGTTCCCGATTCTAGAAACTGGGAACCGGTCCTCTCGATCTAATTCTTGATTCTTGAGTTAGATCGGACCGGACTGGAAACCTATCACTCCTAGGAGACAGCCAAGGACATGACGAAGTAGAACCAAAATCTTTGAAACGTTGAAAACAAATATCAGTATAAATTTAATAAAACGGCGTCAAACTTGACTGAAATATATATATTTGAAAAGTCAAACTTTCCAGATCCACTTATTCTCGCTTGGACAGGTTAGGATAAGTACCTCACAGGAATTTCTGATGAAGGTTTTAAAAAATTATTGTATTTTTTTTTTAAATTATTGTATTGAAAATGTAGAACTAAATGTACTTCATGGACTTAATTGCCTCGTCAGCTCAAGAGGCCAGCGAAGATCAGCAACACAGGCGATGGTTCCGGCTAGTTCTGCCTATTTCGATTGCTGTAGTCGTTCTCTTTATATTTGGCGTGATATGCTACTTACAGAGGAAAACATTGAAATCAAGAGGTACATTTTGCTAAAGTTCACTGGAGGATTGCTATACCTCTGTGGTTTTCGGGGACATTGACTTAGGATTCAGCAACTGAAGGATTAAAGTCGATACATTTTCTTGGTTTTGATTCTCAGGTATTGCGGGTGTAATAAAAGGATTTAGTCGCCAATTCAAGACTATGGTGCATAAAGTTGAACGTCCTGAAGGCGGTGCTCCTAATCTGCAAAGATTTTGTTATGCCACCCTCAGAGCAGCAACCGATAACTTCTCGAGTGAAAATAAGCTTGGAGAGGGTGGATTTGGACCTGTTTACAAGGTAAAATATATGAGGCCATACTTAAGCTAATGATTTCTTTTTCTGTTTCATTGCAAATCCTATGAATTGTGAACCATGATTAAGTGCAAGAGCCGGTACTCTTGCTCTATACTGTGGGTTTATTGTTGTTTAAATGCGAACAAGGGAAATAACTCACCCCCAAATATTTTTCGTACTCCTTTTGCTAAAAAATGTGGTCTTTGTTGTTTATAGTCTTGACTGATTATTGAGAAGGTGAAAGTAATGGGAACTTGATTATTTATGATGTATGTGAGCTTGCAAGTTTCATTATAGGAGGTTGGACTTGGATGCATTCTGCTCAAGTTTTGTTTTTCCATTATGATCCTTGGGGTTATGTGACTTATGTCATAGACAAAAAAACTGTCTTCCAGCATAAACAGTGAAAAGTTTAGTTCTGAGTCTACCATGTTCAAGTGAAAGGTAGTTGCCCTGTACTGACCGTCAGCATCCCTGTTGCTCAGGGCAAGTTGCCCGAAGGACAGGACATTGCAGTAAAGAGACTTTCGAAAACTTCGAAACAAGGGCTCGAGGAGTTCAAGAATGAAGTTACTCTCACTGCCAGCCTGCAACATGTCAACCTCGTTCGCCTTCTCGGATTTTGTATCGATAGGGAGGAAAAGATGCTGATCTATGAGTACATGCCATATAGGAGCTTGGACTTCTATCTTTTTGGTTCGACATCTTTCATGCTTCTTACAATAGTCATTGAGCATAGCCTGGGTGTTTTAAAGTGACATCCAGTGTGATACTCCAAAAGGCTTATATGGGTCCCCTGTTCCAATTCAATGGCTAGATCAGGTAGACCCTTCTAAGCATTTGGGGTTCACAAAGTTATGTTATGCTCTAATTTTGCTTCTGGTTCTGATAGCCTTTAGGTTTTAATGATGTAGATCCGATAAGGAAATATTCACTGGATTGGGAGAAACGTGTTCATATCATAGAAGGCATCACACAGGGGCTTGTTTATCTCCAAGAATACTCGAATTTCACAATAATTCATCGAGACTTGAAAGCCGGCAACGTTCTGCTGGATAACGAATGGAACCCCAAGATATCAGATTTTGGTTTGGCAAGAATATTCAGAAAGGATGACCTTGAGGCAAATACCCGCCGAATTGTTGGGACTTAGTAAGCGAGCTAATTATGCCACTCCTAGTTTTACCTCGCACATATTCTCCTGCTAAAAATCTCGTGCTTAAAACCAAAATTTTGCTCTTGTATATAGCGGGTACGTTCCACCAGAATATGTGACGAAAGGCATCTACTCGATGAAGTACGACGTCTACAGCTTCGGGGTACTGCTGTTGCAAATCATCAGTGGCAAAAAGACCTCATGTTACTACGGCCCGAATGAAAATCTGAATCTTCTCGAATTTGTAAGTGGAGATTGTTTGTGATTCAAAATTTGCCGGGCTCAAATTTAGGAGCATGAATTTTGACTTTTAACCGACTATCGTTCTTAATTTCAGGCATATAAGCAGTGGAAAGACGATAAATGCATGGAGTTCATCGACCCGTCTCTGGACAACTCGTCATCGTCTTGTAAGCTCATGAGATGCATGCAAGTGGCTCTTCTATGCGTGCAAGAGAAGCCTGGGGACAGACCCTCCATGTTGGAAGTGTCTTCAATGCTCAAGAATGAAGCTGCAGCTGTAAATTCCCCCAAGAAGCCTGCATTTTCAATTATGAAGGATGAAGATGAAGATGACAAGTGCTTGCTCAAGGAAGCAATCCATTCAGTCAACGATGCATCAGTTTCTGAATTGTTTCCTCGCTGACTATACATTGCAGGCATACAATGCAGTGGATGCTAATGCCATAGAGAGAATCTTTTTCAGAAAGGAAATAGAAACAGAGAATTTGTAGCATTATTTTCCCAATTGATTGTAATATATTTTTTTGCGTCTGTATAAATTTTAATCCTCTTGAGGCAGTTTGTAGGAATGTTGATTTCGAAAGGTGTACCAATTGGAATGAGAAAAATGCAGATTTATTATCTCCTACTTAAATCTCATCTATAATCTCCGCACGTGAAATGGCGACATGTTGATGTTTCATTCTGTATTAACCCACATCAGATCAACATCCGCAAATCTAACCTCCATCCTGCCGTCAGCCATCGTCAACAATCATTATCATATTGCCATCGCTAGCTCAATGACAAAGTTCCCTGCCTTCCTTTTTGTCTCCGCGACCCTCCTCCCTCCCTCTCTCTTCGCACGCGAATGCGTGAGCTCAACACCGCCGACAAGCTTGTGGCCGATTGGCAAAGCTTAATATGGCGTCAGGCTCGCCCTGGATCCTAATTGTAACTCTAGAAGGGCCTTTAGACTTGATCATGGGTTTACCCAAATCCCTCGTAATCCTTTCATATTTGAACGGACTTGGAGGGATTGCGAAAGACTTAAATGATCCCCCGTAATCCCTTCCCTCAATTCAGACAAGACTCTGTTTTTAGAGTCATTTCTTTCCCTCTCAATCTCGTCCTATCGTTTGGCCGCCATGGAAACTTTCGCGGGCACATCTGTCTGCTACGGACAAGATTGAACGACAAAGTTAGGCCCGACGATGAACGGGTTGGACACGGACCCAGATAGAAATATCCGCAGCCACGACCAGGACCCAAAGGCACCTGAAGGATGAAAAGGTCAAGTGTTGCACCCGATGAAAGCGAGCTTTTTGTATGCAAACGTGGCAAAATATGGCCGAAAGTGAACGTACAACAATTACAGTCGATCGAACAACCGTCATGCACTGATTGCCTGAAGGAGCAACGACTCTGTCTCATTTCGTACGGACAATACCGATTAAAGACCACGGCAAAGGCGTCGTCGCCTTCCTCCTCCCATCGACTCAAACCGCCACTTCTTGCTCTCACGTTATCTTCCGAGCTCTCTTTCATGGCGGACAAAGGCAAACTCGCCTGTTTCTTCATCTTTTTTCTCTGTCTCTACCCGTCTTTGGAGGAACAGACGTGGGTCAAGTCCGGTTACTTCTACGCCGGCAGCGAAATCCCGGTATCGGACATCGATTCCTCCCTGTTCTCTCACCTCATATGTGCTTTTGCTTCCATCGGCTCTTCGACCCATCCACTCTCCTTCAACGCCTCCTTTGAACAAATCTTCTCCACCTTCACGAGCACCGTGAAACGCAAGAACCCTTCGATCACCACGCTGCTATCAGTGTGGGCAGGCGGAGAGGCTTCTTCAGCTTTGGCTTCGATGCTCGGCGAGTTTTCTTCAAGAAGTTCCTTTATCGAGTCTACGATAGAAAAGGCAAGGCTTTATGCGTTCAGTGGGATTGATCTCTTTGGGGTCTTGCCCAGTGGGAGCATTAACATGACCAATTTGAGTGCTCTTTTGGGGGAGTGGAGAGATGGAGTAGATGCCGAATCAAGAAAATCTGGGAAACCTCGGCTGCTGCTGGTAATGGGTGTGTATTGTCAAGCCATTGTTGACTCTGTGAGTTACCCACTTGACTCAATTCAGAGATATTTGGACTGGGTCCACCTAATTGCTTACGATTACCATCTCCCCACCAGGGAAAAGTTTGCCCTCCCTCATGCAGCTTTATTTGACCCAGCTAGCCATAACAACACAGACTTCTGCATAACTTGGTTGTTGACTAGAGGATTTCCTGCAAGAAAGCTGGTTCTGGGCTTGCCCTACCATGGCTATGCGTGGCAGCTCGAGGATTCAAGAGACGATGCCATTGGCCATCCAACGGTGGGGCCTGCTGTGACGGCGGATGGGTCATATGGATATAAGACCGTAAGATCATTCATCCGAGATTTTGGTTATGGAGCCAGTTCTGTATATAATGGTACATATGTAGTGAATTTTTTCAGAAAGGGGTTGATATGGATCAATTTCGATGATGTGGAGGCCATTCGAGCCAAAGTAACTTATGCCAAGGGAAAAGGGCTTCTTGGTTACAATGTGTTTCAGGTTGGCAATGATCAGAACTGGGTTCTTTCCAGGACAGGTTAGGATAACTACCTCACAGGAATTCTTGATGACGGTTTTAAAATATTATTGTATTGAAAATGTAGAACTAAATGTAATTCATGGACTTAACCGCCTTGTCAGCTCAAGAAGCCAGTGAAGATCAGCAAGAGAGGCGATGGTTCCGGCTAGTTATGCTTATTTCGATTGCTGTAGTTGTTCTCCTTATATTTGGCCTGATATGCTACTTACAGCGGAGAACATTGAAATCAAAAGGTACATTTTCTAAAGTTCACTGGAGGATTGCTATATCTCTGTGGTAATTGGGAACATTGACTTAGGATTCAGCAAACAAAGGATTAAAGTTCTAGATACATTTTCTTGGTTTTGATTCTCAGGTATTTCGGGTGTAATAAAAGGATTTAGTAGCCGATTAAAGACGATGGTGCGTAAAGGTGAAAGTCTTGAGAGTGGTGCTCCTAATCTGCAAACATTTGGTTATGCCACCCTCAGAGTAGCAACTGATAACTTCTCGAGTGAAAATAAGCTTGGACAGGGTGGATTTGGACCTGTTTACAAGGTAAAATATATGAGGCCGTACTAAAGCTAATGATTTTCTTTTTCTGTTTCATTGCAAATCATATGAAGTATGAACCATGATTAATTGCCAGATAGGGTCCCTTTGCTCTATAATATGTGTTTGTTGTGTTCAAATGCGAGCAAGGAAAATAACTCACCCCCTTTGTCATACTCCTTTTGCTCAAGAATATGTGGTCTTTGTTGTTTATAGACGAGACTTAATATTGAGAAGGTAAAATTAATGGGAACTTGCTACCATTGCTACGAGAGAAAGCAAATATTTCCATATGTTGATTGAAGGTATGCCAGCTTTCTCTTTAGCAGCTACCAGCTTGTTGGTTTATACTCGCAGTGTCAATCACTTAGTTGAAATCAACAGGTGAGTATGTCTCATTAAGGTACATGTCCCCTCTAATTAAGCAGAAATATTTGGCGTCACGTCACAACACAACACAATAAGCTTGAGATATATAGAGATGCAGCATAGGTTTCTTTATGATGTATGTGAGCTTGTAAGTTTCATTCTAGGAGGTTGAACTTGAATGCATTCTGCTCGAGTTTTTTTTTTCTTTATAATCCTTGGGGTTATGTGACTTGTGTCATAGACAAAAGACTGTCTTCCAGCATAAACAGTGAAAAGTTCAGCTCTGAGTCTACCATGTTCAAGTGGAAGTCAGTTGCCCTGTACTGACCATCAGCATCCCTGTTGCTCAGGGCAAGTTGCCCAAAGGAAAGGACATTGCAGTGAAGAGACTTTCGAAAACTTCAAACCAAGGGTTCGAGGAGTTCAAGAACGAAGTTATGCTCGCTACCAGCCTGCAACATGTCAACCTTGTTCGCCTTCTTGGATTTTGTACCGACAGGGAAGAAAAGATGTTGATCTATGAGTACATGCCAAATAAGAGCTTGGACTTCTACCTATTTGGTTTGACATCTTACATGCTTCTTACAATAGTCTTGGGATAAGAATAGCGCAAGTGCCATAACTTTTGTACGGCGCTCACTTGAGTACCGTAACTTTTTATTTTCGCTCATTTAAGTGCCACAAATTTGAAAAATCGTTCACTTGAGTGCCATTGGTGATTTGCCTTGCTGGAAAATCCGACATGGATGACAGTTGTCCTACATGGCATCACCGGCGCGGACGTGGACAATTTTTTAATATTTTTAAATCTTTACTCCTTTTTTTTTCCTTTTTTTCAGTGCCGACCCTCGTCGGTTGCGAAGGCCTCACCCTCGCCCCCGGCCGCGAGGGCCGTCGCCAAATCAGGGCAGCCGAGGGCAAGGGCCTTCGCGGCCATATCGGCCGAGTGCGATGTGGCACTTAAGTGAACGAAAAACAAGTTATAGCACTCATGTGAGGGCTATACGAGAGCTATGGCACTCCTGTTATACTTGTCCCCAATAGTCTCTGAGCAAAACCCGGGTGTTTTTAAGTGACATCTAGTGTGATACTCCAAAAGGCTTAAATGGGTCCCCAGTTCCGCTACAATGGCTAGGGCAGTTAGACCCTTTTAAGCATTTGTGGTACACAAAGTTATGTAGTGCTCTAATTTTGCTTCTGGTTCTGATAGTCTTTAGGTTTTAACGATGCAGATCCAATAAGGAAATATTTGCTGGATTGGGTGAAACGTGTTCATATCATAGAAGGCATTACACAGGGGCTTCTTTATCTCCAAGAATACTCGAATTTTACAATAATTCATCGAGACTTGAAAGCCAGCAACATTCTGCTGGATGATGAAATGAACCCCAAGATATCAGATTTTGGTATGGCGAGAATATTTAGGAAGGATGACCTTGAGGCAAATACCAGCCGAATTGTCGGGACTTAGTAAGTGAACTAACTAGGCCCTCCTAGTTTTACCTCACAGATATTCTCCTTCTTAAACCAATTTCTGTTCTTGTATACAGCGGGTACGTTCCGCCAGAATACGTGAGGAAAGGCATATACTCAATGAAGTACGACGTCTACAGCTTCGGGGTATTGCTGTTGCAAATCATCAGTGGTAAAAGGACCTCATGTTACTACGGCCCGAATGAAAATCTGAATCTTCTCGAATATGTAAGTAGAGATTATTCGTGATTCAAAATTTTCCAGGCTCAAATTTAGGAACACGAATTCTGAAGTTTAACCAACTGGCATTCTTAATGACAGGCATATGAGCAGTGGAAAGACGAGAAATGCATGGAGTTCATTGACCCATCTCTGGATGACTCTTCATCATCTTGTAAGCTCATGAGATGCATGCAAGTGGCTCTTCTATGCGTGCAAGAGAAGCCTGGGGACAGACCCTCCATGTTAGAAGTGTCTTCAATGCTCAAGAATGAATTTTCAGCTGTAAATTTCCCCAAGAAGCCTGCATTTTCAATTAAGAAGGATGAAGATGAAGACGAAGACGACGAGTGCTTGCTCAAGGAAGCAATTCATTCAGTCAACGATGCATCCACTTCTGAATTATTTCCTCGTTGATTATACATTGCATGTATCCAATTCTGTGAATACCAACGCCATAGAGAGAATCTTTTGTTAAATATTTGGTTGCCTAGTACTTCGTTTGGCCCAGGATAGGTTAATCAAAAAGTAAAACGAAACAGAGATGATTTCTGGCATTATTTTCCCCATTTATTGTAATATTTTTCGACGTCTGTATAATTTGTAATCCTCTAGAGCCAGTTCAAGTGTTCATTCTTTCGTCTTGTAACATATAAAGCTATGAATAATCCGTCAGTATATACCCTGCGGGGTCTTAAAGCTACAATTGTCACTTTGTTCTTCGTTTGTTTTCTTTTTCTGCTTTGTCTTGTTCTTGTTCTTGATTAATAAGTGATGAACAGGATCAAATAGACTAAGCCGTAGAATAGGGTCAAGGCCGCCTTCCTTTTATCTCCTAGAAAACCAATCTCTTTTAAGTCCACAAATCTCTTAAATAGACGAGTCCCGAGCCAAAACTCAAACAAGAGTATTTACACCCGATGACGCCGATCTAACGTATGTCCGTGCATGACATATGCTTCTGTTCTTCGACACCGAGCTGGTCAAGCCGTCTTCATGATACCAAAACGGAAGAAACTCAAGATATCAACAACTTCTCATACTTGTGTGCACCAGTTAGGCTCTAAATTAAGCGGCTCATATCCATTTGACCACATTGAACTCAGCCACCCACGATTCCAAACAAGTAAATATTCAAACACAGTTTCTTGTTATCAATTATAGATCCTAGAACAGCTCTTCTCCATCTGCCATTTGTCCTTATTTTACACGAGTAAGCAGACCTGCAGACATTCATGAGAGACAAACGTTAAAAGACATCTACAAGATGTCACAAACACATCCATTAGTAATGGCCAGTGTTGTACTCAATTGATTTACTGTTTCTGCCATTTTGTTTCCTCGTTTGTCTCGTTAGGAAATGTTCATATTCGAAAGTGGGTCATCAAAAGGTCAGTTTATTAGTAAAGTAAGACTTTTTGGCCTCATTTTGTAACTCGAGAAAATTGACTGGAATCAGTCATGTTACGTCTACTTAGGAATTATCGAATTTGACCTATGTTTGTAAACAATGAGCAGGGGGGAAACTTTTTGGATTATTTATTACTCTCGTACTTATCACACATATATGATTCAAAATTAGCACTAGCTAATTTTGTTTTCAAGATTGGACCCATGAAATATCTCCCTCGATCCAGATAGGATTTCTCCAGACATTTTTACATCTTTAGGTAATTTGTTTTTAAGTACCATTCATTGTATTTTGTGATGCCATGAATTATACATGTATTTATCGTGATTTCGCTGTGACATATTCATGCAAGATCATGTCCAAACTCCTTTGCAAAATGGTCTTATTAATATTGGTTTGTCTATACAGTTTTTAACCATGGACAAATCTAGACAAGAACTTGGTAATATCGCCCAGGAACCCTTGTTTAGCTTCTTAGGATCTATAAAAGGCACATCATGACAAAACACAATCGTACAAAACTTAACTTTAAGCTAACCATTATCTCCCTATAAATATGCATGTTCCAATCAAACACCAAAGATCTAAATGCATTTGATCATATACCCTCTTGAAAAAAATGGCAAAGTTCACCCTTTGGCCTTTCCTTTGCATGGTCTCCTTCTTGTTCACGACCATGGGTTCAATTGATGTAACAGCTTCTTCATCATCATCTTCCACCATTAAAGGATCTTATTACCCTTCCTGGACGCCAGACTTCACTCCATCGGACATAGACACAAGTTTGTTCACTCACATCTTCTATGCTTTCCTCTCCCCAAGCAACATCACCTTCAAGTTCGAGCTCTCGGAGCCCATGGCAGTGGCTCTCTCGAACTTCACAACCACTCTTCGTTTTGCGAGCCCGCCGGTCAAGACCCTCCTCTCCATAGGTGGTGCCGGAGACGTTCCAACCGCTCTCTTGGCCAAGATGGCTTCACGCCATTCCTCAAGAAAAGTCTTCATCAACTCTTCACTGGAGGTTGCAAGGAAGTTTGGGTTTGATGGGCTTGACCTTGACTGGGAATCGCCTCAAAACCCAAAGGAGATGGATGATTTGGCCCACTTGTTGAGGGAATGGAGGCTTGCGATCATCGAAGAGGCCCGAGCCACCGAGCAGCCCCCGCTGTTCTTGACCGCCGCGGTGTACTTTGCCTCTGACTTCTTCCTCGATCCGGTGTACCGGATATACCCGGTGGCGGCCTTTAGGAAGAATTTGGACTGGATTAACGCCATGTGCTACGATTATCACGGGGCGTGGGACCCCTCTGCCACGGGGGCCCAAGCCGCATTCTTCGACCCGAAGAGCAACCTGAGCTCGATCCACGGGCTCAAGTCTTGGCTCCGGGCGGGGATGCTCGGAAAGCAGGTGGTCATGGGCTTGCCACTTTACGCGAGGACTTGGGAGCTCAAGGACCCTAATGTCACCGAGATCGGCGCCCCGGCAGTTAGCGCGGGCCCTGGGGGCGGCATGCTTCCTTACTCCGATGTGCAAGCATTCAATAGGAATCATAGTGCCTCCGTGGTATATGACGCGGAGACAGTGTCGACCTACTCCTTTTCCGGGACATCTTGGGTCGGGTACGACGACGTCGCCTCCACGATGGTGAAGATTGGATTGGCACAAGCCCTTGGGCTTCGGGGATATTTCTTCTGGGCCCTCAGTTTTGAAACTGAATGGCAAATATCATCCCAAGGTATGCCATATATCTCCACTCAAAAGTTTGTGTTGTAGCAATATGAAAGTACCGCACCAAAGGCTTCCCTTGAATTTTTCGTGTTCGGTTATGAGTTAACCTCACCAAAGAAAATGAGCTTTCTCTCCTATGAGGGGCGCCTCCATAGCCTGTCCCCAACTTGTGTGGTGGGTTTTAGGGATGCATCCTTATTTTAACGTGTTGGTGTCTATACGCCTCGCACTCTCAATTTTCCATTAACCAGGAGGTGGGAGTATCCTGTAAGAGTTTTATATCCCAATAATCCCGAGATCCGGACGTGAATCGAGATAAAGCCTATTAGGTCTTACTTAGGACCACCATTTGAAGGCTTTCTCGATATGTTATAGTTTTGACAAAGAAAAAGTATTTTAGAGTTCTTATCTTTAATTGAATTTTTATTTTGGATTTGTCTTATGCAGCATCCAGAGCGTGGATTCTTGATGATTGAAGATTCAACCTTTGTAACTCTTCCATATCTTCAGCAACTTCAAGTTAACAAGAAGCTCCTCAAGGCTTCAAGTTACATATTTCCCGGCTATTCATCCACACATTCAATCTCGGGCTACACACAGCCAAATTAGGAAAATTTCGATAACAACCGCGCATGACAGAATTTAATGCCGAGTTGTTTTTTACATTGATTTGATCATGTAACGTAACTTGTTTGAGTTGTTTTTAGATTTTGTTTGTTAAAAGAATCCCGAGACTGTTGCTTCTCTTGTATTCATAATCATGAACAATTAATGTTATAAATGTGTAAGCAAATATTAATGTCGAAGACCCAACAAGTCTTCTGTGCAACCCCAATGCAATTTTCTTTCGGTTGACATTTATATCGATCAAAAGAAGTATATTTGAATTGATGAGAACGACCTAGCATTCACCAAACGATGATCTTAGCAGGAGCATATGTTAAGTATGCTAATCTATAAAGCCTTGCATCACGATTTATAGTCCCATTGCATGCATAATAGCAAATCAGTTTCCAGATAAATATAATATTACCTTTATCTATTAGATCCAAGGTATTTTTGTTCTTGGATTTCGTTTGTTTCACGGGAAATGAATGATATAGAAAATATTTTCCTAAAAAAGATCGCTTGTATCACTTACAACAATGAATAAATGTAAAACATTTTCATCCCGCACGAAAATGTTTAGACATAAGTTCTTGTCAATAATGAAAACAATTTTCATCAACTAATTATTTTAAGCGATACAAATGATCATTTTTAGAAAATTGTTTCCCAAATTATTCATTTTCCGCGAAACGAATAAAATTTTGTATTCACATTTGTTGAAGTTAAAACTGAGAACCACGAGCTTGATATGCTACCTCGCGGGGAAATCCATTTGCGGCATAAGAAATGGGGTCAAGGCGTCCGAATATTGTACACGGAGTGACCCTCCAATACTTAAGTTAGCACTGGAAGTGAGGGAAATTTGGAAGAGAGAGCGTTTTTGCTTTTATGGAGAATGGCGGATTCTTAGAAAAACGTAAGGGAAGAAGAAAGTCTACATGAATCTCAAAATACGATTTATGTGTTACTGTTGAAGGGTCATTGGGTTGTGTTACGCAGGTGATAGCCTATACATGGACAAGTGGTGAAAGGAAATGACACGTGATATTCATAGCATTTTAAGAACCAATGCATGTCCATACTTTTAGATAATGGTAGAACCTTTGTGTGCTCAATGAAATAAAAATAAAATGATGTATTGTCAATTTTAGCTTACCGGGTAATCAATTGTCCCATCCGATGGAATACCTGGGAACCTTCTTTCTATGTTATATGTTCCTGTCAGCATGGTGATGACATGTGTCGAGAGATGATCAATGCGTCAAAATCACCCTTACCACATGACACACTCTCGATCCCCACAGGTGAAACTATCGGGTCGAGAGTAGATAAATTATGCGTAGCTTTTCCTCTTTTTGCTCCAAGTATTGACTGAGGCGTATAAGGAAATTAAGATATGATAGCTATTTCAACCTTAAAGATATGCATGGCCAACAAAAGCAAAAGAAAATCTTAAATAGGCACATATAACACATTCCCATGACCATCTCTTGTTTACCAGATAGAAGTACATACATAATGGAACTCTAATCCCAGTACATGGCCATTGAAAGCGATGAGTGTGCACATGTCATTTTGTGAATCCTGCTTGTGGAAATAAAATATTTACCATGAGTCGATAGAGCAAAAATAAATATGAAAAAAGGGAAAGAAAACCAACAATTTTGAAAGTGCACGAGGATATGAAGCACAGGCCAATTTACAGACAATTTCTTGGTAATTTGTTTTGTGTTTTTCTTTTTAACCCACAACACTCTAAAAATAATGGAGCAGAGGCATACACACATCCATCAAATGGCCGGGGACTTTGGGAAGCCACAAAGAACAAACAGACTCCAACTACAATTCCATTCACCAAGGGAAAAAAACTAGCGATCTCCGATTGCTTCTCACCCCGAACCTTTTGCTCTCTCTCTCTTTTCTGGGATTTATATAAAGAGAGAGTTGATGTACAAGCCAAAGGCTT